TCGGGCCTAGACCCTTCTAGGCCCGAAACGTCAGCCTCTCTGCTCCTATGATGCTGCTTGGCCTGCTGTGTTCATCCAGCCCTGCACCTTGTTGTCTCGGACTCTCCAGCATCTGCAGTTCCTACTATCTCTGATAAAAATCTGTTAATCTGTTTCAGTAATACCCATAACACAGTGTGGAGCTGGAGGAACACAGCAGGCCAGGCAGCATCAGAGGAGCAGGAAAGCTGACGTTTTGAGTCTGGACCCTTCTTCAGAAATGGGGGAGGGAGAAGGGAGCTGGGAAATAAAGAGAGAGAGGAGTGGGGTTGGGAAACGTAAGTGGGATGGTGATAGGTGAGTGCAGGTAGGAGGTGGGGAGTTCCTGGATTGGGGGGAAAAGTGGATTTTACCTGTTTCAAAATCTCCCCACCCCCGCCCTCATCCCCTGTCCAACCCTCCCTCTCATCCCCACCTCCTTGACCTGACACAACCTGTCCATCTTCTCTCCCACCTATCTGCCCCTCCTACCTCACTGACCAATCCCCATCACTCCCTTCCTGCACTCACCTATCACCATCCCACCTAACTTCCCCAGCTCGACTCCCCCCTCTCTATTTATTTCAGAGCCCCCTTCCTGCACCCTCATTTCTGAAGAAGGGTCCCCACCTGAAACATCAACTTTCCTGTTCCTCTGATGCTGCCTGGCCTGCTGTGCTCCTCCAGCTCCACGCTGTGTTATTTCTCACTCCAGCATCAGCAGTTCTTACTATCTCTCAGTAATTCTCATACTGTTTAAATATGGCCTTGCAATCTTTTAAATTCCTCTGAGGGGCCACACAAAGTCTCAGCTTAATGTCTCCTGTGAAAAACTACATCTACCACAGCAAAGCTCTCCCTCAGTATGTGCTGGAATAGCCTAATTTTTTTTTTATTCTGGTGATTTTTGAGTTCAAGTCTCTGATTGGCACTTGAGCCCACAACCTTTGATTCAGGTGTGAGAGCGCGCCCCATTGAGGCACGACTAAATATTTGAATGGCCGAGGACGGGAAAGACAGTGTGATGGTGAGAGGGGTGGGTTGGTTAAATGGGACTGTAAAAAAGAAGGAAAGCACTGAATAAAGGATCTGAAGGTTCAATGGAAGGAAAATGTGATTAATGAACAGAGATAATCTGAATGATAGAAAAAAAAACAAGATGGTAAACAACTACTGCACAAAAAGCACGGCTGGGGCTAGAGCAGGAAAATCACCCAGGCAGAGACAACAAACAGATAATAAAGGAAAGTATGTAAACCATGATTGATGTGAACACCATCAGAGTTGCAAAGCGAGACCGACTGAGATTGGAATATTGATTAACAAGAGGCCAAGAGCTAAAGGAAACAAGGCCAAGAGTCTTGGAGCAACGAGGGGGAAGCACATGGGAGAGTGTGTGACTAAAAGAGAGTGACCAATTTTCAGATACAGTGAATGTGAGGCAGAGAGATAAAGATAGTTAAACAGGCAGGGAAGAGATCAGATAGATAGAGAGACAAGAAGTGACAGAGAGAAAGAAGCAGTTGTCATACATTTGTAAAATAGGATTGTTTAGAAAAATATCAAAACCTGCAGGCTGGATAATCAATGTTATCTCCTGTGTCTTAGACGAATCCATATCTCTGAAGCAACTTTGAAATGTTTGAAAGGTGATTATGAAACTGAAGCAGCTTATGGTCAAAAACGTAGTGACTTATTGGAGCAGTATAAGATTAAAACCTACTTCATCAAGCATGACGATTTTGCTGGGGAAGCACCACGAATACGAGTTAGCATTGCAAAATCAGATGCTGGAGCTCCAAAATTACAGTCTGAACGTAGGAAAACAGAGACCGTTTTCAGCAGCAGTTTTCACATTGATGCGAGTCTGCTCCGAGTCTTGGAAGCTGACACCCCATGGAGGCTTGACCATCCTTTCAACAGAATAGTTGGCTTAAATAAAGTGAGTAAAATTTCCCAGCCTCCAAGCTTATTCTTTTCCCTTGAGGTGCCCTTTGCCAGCCATACAATACCATACTTTCGGACATGCGTCACTACCATTCCCATTTAGTCATTGGGTTGGGAAAGAAGATTATATCTTAAAACTAAATAGTTTGGATTGGACAAGACAAATATTTGAAAGGACTCAGATTGTGAGCTGTGAAGTGTTCTGACCAGCTGGCCAGACTCAGAGAGGTAAAGTTGGGGGTATCAGCTGAGATACTGGCAGATTCATGGGGGAGGAAAGGGCACAGATTGAAGGTAAAATCCATGCACCAACACCTGCATGCAGTCTTTAACTGGCCTCACTGGATCAGGGACTGGATCACTTTCCTAATTCATGGAACCCTGAAGCCAATAGTAAAGAACAAAAAGATAGCACCTTGGACAACCTTTGGCTGTGAAGCACTTTGAGACACCCTCTGAACCACCTTTTGAAATGTGGTCGCTATGCGGTGTGGTAACAAGTGTCTGAACAGCAATGAGTTAACCTATCAATTATTTCCATTAGGGGATATATAGTGGCCAGGACACCAGAACATGCCAGCCCTTCTTCAAAACATCATCACCTAATGGTCTACATCCACCTGAGAGAGGACAGGAGGTGCATTTGGTGTTATATCAATAAAAGCTGGCATCTCTGACAGTGCAGCGCTCAGTATGTTTCTTGGGGGTGTTTCTTGAGTGAGGCTTTGAACTCAGAACCTTCACAGAAGGGAAAAATGAAGCTGTATCCTCTAGATGTACATAGCATTGCTAACAGTCATAGTACACACTAATTAACCACCAATTCTACAACCTTCCTCACCTCCAGGGTGCTGCATCGTTAAGAAATTTCAGATGTTCCTTTTCCTTTTCTTTATTCCGTCAGATCTTTGCAGCTCTAACGAAAAAAAAGTCCCAAAGGTCTGACACGAACTTGAGCACAGGAGTTCCCTCCTCCAGGTTTGATGAGATCAACAGGAGAGTTGAACATGCCATTGAGGTGCGCAGCAGTGACAAGCTGCGAGCTGCCTATCTTAATGAAATCACACTAAGTTTTAAAGACTCTGGTGTTGAAAAGAAGGTAATGTGACTACTTTGTTGGGTTCTTGTTTGAAGGAGTGAATTATAGAGTGACTTTAATATTGTCAAATGACTGCAAAACTTGTAAACATAGGCAAAGGGCTAGAAATTTCTTGTGGCATATCTTCACACGTGCAATGAGCACTGTCCGACTCGGAGATTTTAAGTGGCCAGAAACTGATACTTTTTGTGCGAGGTTTGTCCAATCTTATTCATTTTAAGATTCAATCTTATTTCAATCTTATTCATCTTAAAATGAGGGTCTTCATTTAACTACTTAAGGGTCTCATAATGCTTATTTACAGTAACGAATACGGAGGTCTCAAAAATGTGTAATACCTTTATAAAGTGTTCTGTATGCAAACATGTGCCTTTTGTCATGATCTTACTGTGTAATTCAGGAAAGGTGATGGCTAGTTTGTGCAAAACAAACTTCCACAAACAACAAAGTGATAACAAACAAACCATTTGTTCCTGCGATGATGATTAAGAGACAAGTATCAACTCTGAACAGCAGGACAGATGCCACTGCTCCTTTGAAATAGTGTCACTAGAATCTTTTATGCCCTCTTGAGAGTCCAGAGTGGGACTTGGTTTCAGATCTCACTCAAAAGGTGGATTAGAAATGCTTATGTGAAATTTAAACTTATATTTGCCTGTCAAGGTTTCTAGATTACTAGTCCAGTAATGCACCCAAAGTTGTGCAGGCTAGTTGGATTAGCCATGATAAAATGCAGGGTCACAGAGAGAGAGTCGATGCACTTTGGGGGGTTCAGTACAGACTCGATGGACTGAATGGCTTCTTTCCGCACTGTAAGGATTCTATGGTTCTATGATTCCATCATTCTCCATCTCTAAATGAATGTGCTGCAGAGTGTTGTCCTGGGGATAGAATAAAATAGCCTTTATTGTTGCATATACTCAATGAGTTTAGTGAAAAGTTTAAACATTGGCAGTTATAGTGCCGACTTAGGTACAAAAGTACCTAGGCACATCTTCTTTTGTTACAAGTTTTTAGACAGTACAGAAATAAAATATTCAGCATTACAGAAAAGAGTTCAGTGCAGCAGATCACACTGATACTTACCTTCCAGTCTGTATCGGGCCTTGGCACCACACTGTACCAGCAACACACCATGCCAGAAGGATACTGTGCCAGGATCCCACGCCAACACCGGGAGGTCACCACACCAACACCGGGAGATCACCATGCCGACACCGGGAGATCACCGTGCTGACACCAGGAGGTCACCACACCAATACCGGGAGGTCACCACACCAACACCGGGAGATCACCACACCAACACTGGGAGATCACCGTGCCGACACCGGGAGATCACTGTGCCGACACCAGGAGGTCACCACACCAACACTGAGAGGTCACCACACTGACAGCAGGTGGTTACCGTGCCAACACCAAGAGGTCACCACACCAACACCGGGAGGTCACCACACCAACACGGGGAGAGTACCACACCAACACTGGGAGGTCACCACAATGACACCAGGAGGTTACCACAACAACATCGGGAGGTCACTACGCCGACACCGAGAGGTCGCTACGCCAACACCGAGAGGACACCACACCAACACCAGGAGGTCACCACGCCAACACCGAGAGGCCACTACACCAACACCAGGAGGTCACCACACCAACACCAGGAGGTCACTACGCCAACATCGAGAGGCCACCAAACCGACACCGAGAGGCCACTACACCAACACTGAGAGGTCACCACACCAACACCAGGAGGTCATTACGCCAACACCGGGAGGCCACCACGCCAACACCGGGAGGTCACTACACCGACACCGAGAGGCCACTACACCAACACCGAGAGGCCACTACACCAACACCGGGAGGTCACCACACTGACACCGGGAGGTCACCACACTGACACCGGGAGGTCATCACACCAACATCGGGAGGCCACTACAACAACTCCAGGAGGTCACCGCACCGACACCAGGATGCCCGTACAGGAGGAGGCCACTGCGCCAGGCCAGGAGGATGCCATGCCAGACCAAAGCATATGTTTGCTTACAGAACACTTTACAAAGATACTGCACAGTTTTGAGTCCTCTGTATTAGTCACAGTAAATAGCCATTATCAGACCCTTAAGTAGTTAATTGAAGGACACCACACCAGGCCATGAGGCTGCTATGGGAGTCCACTGCATCTGGCCGAGAGTTGTTGCCAGAAGCTGCGAATCCTCACTTTCTCGAGACAGGGAATTATCACTGGAGACAGAGAATTGTTGCCGGAGACAGGGAATTATCGCCAGAGGCTGGGAATCATCGTTGAAGGTCGGGAATCGTCGTTGGAGGCCGGGAATCGTCGCTGGAGGCGGGGAATCGTCGTTGGAGGCGGGGAATCGTTGTTGGAGGCCGGGAATCGTCAATGGAGGCGGGGAATTGTCACTGGAGGCGGGGAATCATCGTTGGAAGCTGGGAATCGTCGCTGGAAGCCGGGAATCGTCGCTGGAGGCCGGGAATCGCTGTTGGAGGCTGGGAATCGCCGTTGGAGACCGGGAATCGTCACTGGAGGCTGGGAATTGTCGCTGGAGGCCACGAATTGTCACTGGAGGATGGGAATCGTCGCTGGAGGCCGGGGTTTGTCGCATAACAGAGGCTGAGACTTGTCACTCCTCGCTGGAGATCACTGGAGGCTGGAAGTTGAGAGGAAAGAAAAGAAGAGAAAAAAAGCAACAGAAGGAAGAAAAACAGAAGAGACAGAAGAACAAGAGTGGGTGGAGAAGACAAACTCTGGCTGGAATGTCTGACTCCACCACCATCTTGAAACATATTTGCTGCACATTCAGTGTACCCCTCTTTATACTTCATATGTTCACCATTGCCTACCCCTCTTCAGCTTCTCCATATCCCCATTGTGCTCTCCTTTCAATCTCAATCTCTCTCCCACTCTCTCACTATCATTGCGTAGGGCTTGAAAAGATAGTGAAAATAAACTTTATGTTTGATGAGGGCTGGTGATAGCCTTGTGGTATTATTGCTGGAATATTAGTCGAGAAACTCACCTAATGTTTTGGGGACCTGGATTTAAATCCCATCATGGCAGATAGTGGAATTTGAATACAATAAAAGAAAATGAAACTAAGAATCAACGAATGACCGCAAAATCATTGTTGATTGTCAGAAAACCCACCTGGTTCACTAATGTCCTTTAGGGAAAGAAATCTGCCACCCTCACCTGGTCTGGCCTACATGTGACTCCAGACCCACATCAATGCGGTTGACTCTCAGTTGCCCTCTGAAATAGCCCAACAAGCCACTCAGTTGTACCAATCACTACAAAGACTCAAAGAAATGAACTGGATGGATCACCTGGCATTGACCTAAGCCCTGGAAAAGACAACGGCAGAAGCAGCCCTGTCGATCCTGCAAAATCCTCCTCTTAGTGAGGAGGGTTAGTGCCAAAATTGGGAGAGCTGTCTCACAGACTAGTTAAGCAATAGCCCAACATTGTCCCTAAGGTACAATTCTGTGAGTATGACTATGTCCCAGACACTACCATCACCATCCCTGGATATGCCCTGTCCCACCAGCAGGACAGACCCAGCAGAGGTGGCAGCACAGTGGGATACAGTTGGGAGGGAATTACCCTGGGAGCTCTCAACATTGACTCTGGACCCCATGAAGTCTCATGGATTCAAGTTAAACATGGGCAAGGAAACCTCCTGCTGATAACCACATACTGTCCTCCCTCAGCTGATGAATCAGTACTCCTCCATGTTGAACAACACTTAGAGGAAACACTGAGGATGGTAAGGGCACAAAATGTCCTCGGGGTGGGGGATTTCAATGTCCACCATCAAGACTGGCTCGGCAGCAGTACTACAGATCGAGCTGATCGGGTCCTACAGGACATAGCTGCTAGACTGGGTCACGAAGAATGGTGGAGCAGGCTCGAAGGGCCAAATGGCCTTCTCCTGCTCCTACCTTCTTTGTTTCTGAGTAACCAGGGTTGATCCCCTGGCTTGATGGTAATGGTGGAGTGGGGGATATGCCGGGCCATGAGGTTATAGATTGTGCTGGAGTACAATTCTGCTGCTGTTGATGGCCCACAGCGCCTCATGGATGCCCAGTCTTGAGTTGCTAGATCTGTGTGAAGTCTGTCCCATTGAGCACGGTGATAGTGCCGCACAGCACAGTAGAGGTTGTTCTCAATGTGAAGGTGGGACTTCATCTCCATAAGGGCTGTGCGATGGTCACTCTTACTAATACCGTGATGGACAGATTCAACTGCAGCTGGCAGATTGGTAAGGATGAGGTCAAGTATGTTTTTCCCTCTTGTTGGTTCCCTCACCACCTGCTGCAGTATGGCTGATCGTCCAACTCAATAGACAAATCCTGCTTTCTCCCCGTAACCTTTGATCCTATTCGCCCCAAGTGCTATATCTACCCGCCTCTTGAATACATTCAATGTTTTGGCATCAACTACTTCCTGTGGTAATGAATTCCACAGGCTCACCGCTCTTTGGGTGAAGAAATGTCTCCTCATCTCCATCCTAAATGGTCTACCCCGAATCCTCATACTGTGATCCCTGGTTCTGGACACACCCACCATCGGGAACATCCTCCCTGCATCTACCCTGTCCAGTCCTGTTAGAATTTTATAAGTCTCTATGAGATTCCCCCTCATTCGCCTGAACTCTAAAGAAAACAATCCTAACCTAGTCAATCTCTCGTCACATGTCAGACCCGTCATCCCCAGAATTAGCTCAATGGAGAGTGCAAGAGGGCATGCCAGGAGAGGCACCAGGCATAACAAAAGATGAGGTATCAACCTGGTGAAGCCACCAAACAGGACTACTTGCACACCAGACAGCGAAAGCAGCAAGTGATAGACAGAGCTAAGTGATCCCACAGCAATGGATCAGATTTAAGCTCTGCAATCCTGCCACATCTAGTTATGGATGGCAGTGGAAAATTAAACAGCTCACTAGAGAAGGATGCTCCACAAATATCCCCATCCTCAATGATGGAAGAGCCCAGCACATCAGTACAAAAGACAAGGCTGAAGCATTCGCAGCAATCTTCAGCCAGAAGTGCCGAGTGGATGATCCATCATGGCCTCCTCCTGTGGTCCCCAGCATTACAGATGCCAGTCTTCAGCCAATTCGATTCACTCCACGTGATATCAAGAAATGGTTGGAGACATTGGACACTGCAAAGGCTACGGGTCCTGACAACATTCCAGCAATAGTACTGAAGACTTGTGCTCCAGAACTTGCCGCTCCCCTGGCTAAGCTGTTCCAGTACAGTTACAACCCGACAATGTGGAAAATTGCTCAAGTATGTCCTGTACACACATAGATTGCAGCAGTTCAAAAAGGCAGCTCACCACCACCTTCTTGAGGGACAGCTAGGGATGGGCAAGAAATGCTGTGCGTCTAGCGATGGCCATGTCCCACGAGTGAATAAAAAAAGGGGACCTGCATTTTGTGGGATTAGCAGGGGCTTGTAGAGTGAGGTCTAGAGTTCTGAGCATTTTGATCACCTAGCAGAAGGCTAACATGTGTTGTCTTATATCTGAGTATATAGAGAGCTCTTTCTTTGAATAGCACAACCAATAAGTTGATATGGTTTTGATTATCAAGTGAAGTCAGTGTTCTGGTCAATCACTGTGCCTTCTTTCTGATATTCAGTATCGCAAGGTACGGGATGAAGTTTTCACATCTAACGTGGTCTGCTGCTTCATCGTATTGCTGTTTACCATCACTGTGCAATCTTTATTTGAAGTACCTGAGTAAGTGTTAATTATTATCAATTTATTCTGTTTGCATAGCCCAAAATAAGACCCTGTCCAGTGTATATATGGTCCATATGACTGTCTAAAATAGTTGGGAGCAGTCTCTGTGGAACAGGTAACCTCATTGGTTCTCAAAAAGCGACAGACAAGTTCTGGTCAAAATGAGATTCTGGCTTGTAGAATTTACCAAGAAAGTCTGGAATGTCCAGATGGACTAAAGTTCATTTCTGCCTGAAACTGCTTCTAGAGTATTGCTGAAAAAGACACATTCTGTTGAAACTTTTCTCTTACCGTCATCAGGTCAATTCACAAGAACACTGATTCAAGGGGAAAATCAACATTTATACAGCATGAGAGGAGAGTGCTGATTGTTTGGCCAGTGGATTCTGATTGGTAGAAGTGTTGCCATTGAGAGTCCATCCAGTAATCCTGATTGACAGTTAACAGCCAGGCTTTGTCAAATTTGAAACCAGCGAGGTTGTCTCTGATTGGGCAGGACATTACCCTGTGAAATGAACCAGCAAATGCCTGTCACCTCTTTTCTTGAGTTGAAAACAGCACAGCATGTGAATGCCTTATGTCTGTCTGCAAAGAACAAGGCCCAGTATGTTAATATACTCAGTTCCAATAAATGCATATTTACTCCTCTGCGCATCTGACTAACAATCCTAAATTGCTTGTCAGCATAATTCCTCACACATTCAGGATTATCCAACAAATGTTGACCAATTTCAGGATCACATCTAATGTGTGTCCTTCTTTATCTGTGTGTATTGAGACCAGTGAGAATTAGTCGTGTCACGGACAACAGGAAACACGAATTTGACTGAGACAACACATCCATAACAGCATGAGCCAAACAGAGACATGGCAGGGAATTCCTGGAGGCCTGGCATTCCAACTGGAACTCCATCAACAAACACATTGAACTGGACCCAATATACAAACCACTGAAAAACAGAACCAGAAGTGATGCCAACCACCCTAGCAAACCGAGGCATATAAATAACAAGCGGGACAGGACACCAATGCTTCGCTGGAGACACACTGATGATGTTACCTAGCAGGGTGACAAAATGTCTGCAACCAAACACACCGGCTCAGCGAGCAAGTCTGCAACCTCATCCACAACCGAGCTCCAAATCTTCTCATAAACTTTAAATATGTTTACTTTAATTGAATCCACAGCAGCATGTAAGTATTTCCTTCCATGCCTTATTGGGCTCCACCCTGTGATCAAATTCATGTCTAAAATGGAACAGTAAGCGAACTGCCTTTCTTCAGTGACCTGGTTGAAATTTGGTCTGGGTTGTATCGATGAGTTGTGGAAACCAGAAATCATCAGTAAGACAAAATGCTCTGATTGGCTTCTGGGAAGGCAGGTAGATTGTACGTGAGTAATACAGAGGCAAAAGCCTCAAGATTAGAAGAGACAGTATCAATCTTTCTCTTCCTCTGCCATGAAGTAGCCAAGAACTCAAAGATGGCTAAACTCTCCCACATTTGTTATAAACTATTATGTTGAACCAGTGACTGAAAGACTGAATACTTAATATGTCAATTATCCTGTGTCTTTAGCAAAGCAGAAGGAGACTGGAGATCAGAAGGTCTTGAAAAAGCAAAAAGGGCACCTCATCACATCCTTCAGATGACACTTTCGTACTGTGTTTCTCCAGTATATTTCCCACCATAATGTCTATGTCTGGTTCTTTGTGTGTGTCTGTCTGTGTTTATATGCAGGGGTTTAGAAAAAGGATACAGCTTAAAATAAGAGAGTTATTATTCATATTTTTGTTTCCCTGTGATTAGAATTGATTTATTTATAAAAAGCAGAAATTTCTTGTTAAGTTCAAAAACTTGGTCAGTGTTTTCTGTTAACCTGTGGAAATGGACGACTTGAGTAATTTGATTAAATTTTTAACTTTAGTGACAACCCCAGGCATTGTGATGCTCCAGTATCAGTGTATTTTCTCAAGTGGATTGTAACAGGTATATTAGTGTGGCTATAGAATTGGCTCACGGGCAGGAAACAATGAGTGGGGATAAGGGTTCTTTTTCAGGTTGGTGACCCGTGACCAGTGGGTTCCACAGGGATCAGTGCTGGGTCTGCAATTGTTAGCAATATATATTAATGACTGGAAGGAAGGAAGCCAATATACTGTAGACACATTTGCAGACAACACAAAGGAAAGGTAGAAACTCAAGCTGTGAGAGGGATACAAACAGGTTATGCAGAGACATTGATAGGTTAAATAAATGGGCAAAATGTTGGCAAATGGAGTCTAATGTGGGAAAATGTGCAGTTGTACATTTTGAAAGGGAGAACAAAAGAACAAGTATTGTTTCAATGGAGAGAAACTGCAGAAAGCTGCAACACGAAGAGACTTGGGGGCAATTGTGCATGAAACACAGAAAGCTAGCACACAGGGGCAGCAGATAATCGGGAAGGCTAATGGAATGTTGGTCCTTATTTCAAGAAGGTTGGAGGATAAGAGTAGGGAAGTCTTACTGTAACTGTACAAGGTGCTGATGAGACCACATTTGGAGTACTGTCAGCAGCTTTGGACCCCTTATTGAAGGAAAAATATAATTTAGTTGGAGGCTGTTCAGAGAAGGTTCACTAGGATGATCCCTGCTATGGTTGGAACTCCTCTCGCTGGAATTTATAAAAGTGAGGTGATTTCATTGAAACAAACAGAATTCTTAAGGGGCTTGACAGAGTAAAGTCTTTGTGTATTTGTAAGGCTGAGATAGATAGAATCTTGATCAGGGGAAATCAAGGATTATGAAAAAAATGCAGGAAAGTGAATATCAGAAATATCAGCTCAGCCATGATTCTCCTGAATGGTAGATCGGGCTGGAGGGACTGAACATCCTACTTCTGTTCCTATTTCTTCTTCTGTTATGGTCTTAATCTCTGAGTTAAACACCCATCGATGGGAGAGCTGCATCAAACAATAAAACAGATGAAAAGCACAAAGGTTAGGGCCATTGTGATATTCCAATGGAGGTCTTCAAACCTTTAGTTCTTTGTCCACATTCTATACATTTTGGAGGAGAAAGAATTCTGTGCTAAACACTGTGCACCACTGACCACACACCCCCCACCCCATCCACCATACAATTGTTATTACGACAGGAAATAAACCATATTTTGGAAACTATTGATGGATTTCCCTATTTTCCATAGCAGGGAAATTTTTGATACACATCCTCCTGAAACATGTGCTTCCTGTACCTGAGGAAATCCTCAATGTGGCTTCAGATCTTCCAGAGGAACCTCTGACATGGCCTTTGCTGTTAGGTAGTGCATGATTTGCTAATTAGGGTTTTTTTAAGGGAAAAGTACATGTCATGGGAAATATTTAATGGGAAGCAAGTGAAATTTTATTGTAACATTGTGATAGGAGCATATAAACACCTGAATTTAGAACAAGTCTGTTGAGACTGCCCTACCATTCATTAAAATCCTGCTGATCTGTTTTGTGTTTCGAATTCCACCTTGCCATCTCTCCCCAGTAATCATCTCCCCCAGAATCTCTGATGAAAGTAGTATAAGAGTACTGGTAGTATAAAAACTACCAAGCAATCCTCACAATTGATTAAAAAATAATCTGAATTGGACTTCATGTGCTGTAAACTATAGCATTATGAACCAAGAGTGCAAAGCAGGATTTGGATGGATCCAATGTTATTGATTGGCACAGTTAGTATTGGAAAATATTTATCCTTCTGTATTGGGCACTATGTTTGATAGCTGTCTCATTCAAGCACCAAACAAAAGTTGAGATAACAAGGTGTAGAGCTGGATTGCCCTACCAAACAAAAGTTTTTTGATTGTTCGCAGAAATGTCTAACACACAAATCTGCCATGTATTTTCAACCCACAGGCAAAAAATGAGGCTTGGCCATTTCATCTCCATTGTGTTCATTTACTGCTGGCTGCTGTTCTGCATGTTGGCTGAGGGGTTTACCTGTCTCCCCACAGCCTTTCATGAACTATCTAGCTGGATTCAAGAGACATATAAAGTCAGAACTACAATCATGCTGCTGTCTATCATGATCAACTTTATCTCATCAATATATGACATGGTGAGTTATCAAGGACACCAACCTTTGGGATTGGGCAGGCTGTTCGCATTTTTACCCCACATGCACTATTGCAAGCAATGTATACTACACAGCTCTCTGCACAAATTATTTTTTATTCCCATGGTGTGGTCATTTATGTTTGTTGCTCATCCTCAGTCACCTCTGAGAAAGTAATCCATCCAAAATTACAGGGCGGCACAGGGCTATAGGGGAGGGTTGGGCAGTGATGTTATATTCCAGAAAGCCTGGTGATGAAGGGTTAAGTGGGAGCCAAATTCACTAACCGCTCTAAACAGTTGTTGGCAGAGACCCACACTACTATCATGCACCTCTCAATCCAACCACTTCACCTTTTCCCAGTAATGCCTTTTTGAAGAACCAGTGAATAATTGAGTATCAGCAGTTCCTGTTTATAGGGAGGAACGAGTGGTTCCCCAGGTTAAACCCATTTTTTGTCTATTATTAAACATGATCAGACTGAACAGGTTGATTAGGAAAATAGGTTAAATTAAGAAAAAGAAAGAAAGGAAAGAAGGAAGAAAGCACGATCAGATGGTCTTAGATGATTATGCCCTCAGTTCTCTGAACCTCCACCAAGACCTTGCCCTGATAAAAGCTAGTCTTCTTGCATACGCAACATTTAAATGTGCTGCAAAAAACAGAATAAACTGTAGTACTTGCTTGATTAGGAGGTATTATCACACACTAAAAAAGGTAACTTTATATTTTGCCCTCAGACTAATTGATAAACACTGTATCTGTAGTAAATTCTTTGCATGAACCTGCCATACCAGGATAGCTGTAGACAAAAACAGAACTTACTGGAGAAATTCAGAAGATCTGGCAGCATCTTCTGAGGAGAGAGCAACAGAATTATGGTTCAGGTCCAGTGAACTTTCTTCAGA